CTCCTCCCCCTCCCCCTCCCCATCAGGACAAACAGCAGTGTTTTTGTTTGGCCTGTGGTGTGATTGCTCTTTTGTCTTGAGTCCAGCAGCAGCTCTGGTGACGGAGAGTGAAGCAGTGACCGACAAACACTGAGTCCCAGTGTTTCATTCATATTAATACTGTTAATAAATAATATATATTCAAGTAGGATGTAGTGAATATCAAGGAAACAGTGTGTGTGACAGAAAGAAAGAAAGAAAGAAAGAAAGAAAGAAAGAAAGAAAGAAAGAAAGAAAGAAGGAGAATGAAGCAAAGAAAAGGGAGGAAGGAGGTAAGGAGGGAAAAAAAGATGTAAGGAAGCAGAAGAGGAGATAGGGAAGGAAATAAGGAGATACATTAGGAAATGAAGAGGAAGTGTGTGTGTGTCTGTGTGTACATGTGTGTGTGTGTGTACGTGTATGTGTGTGTACTTGTGTGTGTGTGTGTGTTTGTGTGTGTGTCTGTGTGTGTGTGTGTGTGTGTGTGTGTGTGTGTGTGTGTGTGTGTGTGTGTGTGTGTGTGTGTGTGTGTGTGTGTGTGTGTGTGTGTGTGTACTTGTGTGTGTGTGTGTGTTTGTGTGTGTGTCTGTGTGTGTGTGTGTGTGTGTGTGTGTGTGTGTGTGTGTGAGTGTGTGTGTGTGTGTACGTGTATGTGTGTGTAGTTCTGTGTGTGTGTGTGTGTGTGTGTGTGTGTGTGTGTGTGTGTGTGTGTGTACCTGGTGGGTCAGTGAGGTGTACAGCAGGTATCCAGCCTGTGTGTGGACGATGCCTTTAGGTTTCCCTGTACTTCCTGACGTGTAGAGAAGAAACAGGAAGTCCTCACTGTCCAGAGGCTCTGGAGGACACACTGATGCATGATGGGACATCACCTGCAAGGTGAACCATGTGACTGTTACACTACAAGTGTGTATGACAGAGCTGCTGCTAACAGGAACAATGATCAGGTGTATTGATCAGGTGTGTTGATGGGCGTGTCTCACCTCCTCCAGGGGGACGTCCCTCTCTCCCATCACTGCAGGTTGCTCCGTCCTCTGAGAGACGAAGACGTGTTGGACGGAGGGACAGGTCTTCACTGCAGCGTCCACTGTGGCCTTCAGGTGGACGATCCGGCCCCCCCGCACACCTTGATTACAGGTGAGCACGGCTTTACACTGAGCTGAGACAAGCACACGGGACAGATCAATCACTGTGATCAGAGTAATGATCAATGATCAGCTGACAGCTTCCTGTTCACAGTATCTACTGAGCTCTACTGTTTAACCAGCTGAGGCCCCGGGGCTAAACTCTGCCTACTGGCCCCCACATGTCACTTTCATTCGTTTTCTATAGAGTGTGTTTTAGTGTCAGGTAGAAACACACTGAGATCCTTCAGATCAGAGTGTGAGGGAAACAGTCTGTTTCCTCTCGTCGACTGGGACTGAGAGTATCAGCTGAGTGAGTCCAGACATCTGCTGCTGCCGCTCAGATAATCCAACTGACTAACGTCTGTGTCACGCCTCGCTCTGTCTCTGCTCTCAGGACGTTTGAACCTTGGGGCTTTTTCAACTGCTGTAAACATGAAATCACTTTAGAGACTCTGAGACCTTCATTCTGAATAAACCTGGATCTGCTCAGAGCTCCAGCTCGTCACAGCTTAGTTATTAAACTCGTCTGTCAAATATATTTTTATATCCTCCTTCAGAAGGTGTGAGAACTCCGTCCTCTGATCCTCCTGTGTATAAACTCAGCTGCAGTCCCATCATGCTCTGCTGCTCCCGCCGCTCAGTCGGCCGTGATAAATGTTAAATGTCATGTTTGGGTTTTCTGAGGCAGAGACTGTTTCCAAAACACAGACGTCCTTGACTCAGACCCACAGATCCAGATCCAGATCCAGAGGCTGGTAAACCACTGAGCTGCACTGCTCTCTGATGACTCCGCTGTGGACGAGGTTTATATTATATATATGATATATATTATATATGTATATGTTCATGAGAGTGAGGCTGGGACTGTGTGTGTTCAGTAACATCAGAGGAGCTGGAGGTCAAACGTGAGGACAGGAAACAGGAAACTGCTGCTGTGACCTGATCCATGAAAAGCTTCCTGCAGTCGGACCGGAGCTACAGAACGTCTGACTCTCAGCGGACGACTCGGACCTGAAAGAGACTTCCTGTTCAGACAAGTCGAATCCAAGTCCCTCAACACTCAGACCGACCCTGAGACCGGCTGAGACCAGCAACTACACCATGATTTACATGATGGTTGTTGTGTCCTAGCTGCAATGTGAGTTACGGATAGGAGTGTTTTTAGGAAGAGACTCTAGGTGTAAAGGTCAGGCGCCAGAAGACGGTGAGCTCCCCCTCCGTTCCTGTCTCCAAAACATTCCTAAAGCTGACATTTGTTTTACATAACAGAATTTATGGTATCTTTTCTCTTCATATAGAATGACCATGTTTGAGCATGAATGTTGGCTCTGTGCCTCTATAGGTTATTAGGAATCAGCTATGTCATGAAGGATCCTTTTTGGCTTTGGATCCTCTCAGGCAGTTTTGATGCTTGTCAAAAGATGCTGTGCTTTCTTGTAATAAACTTTGTTATATGCAACTGAGCCGGTGTCTGCAGAGATTCCTTCATCATCATCACATCATCGCTATGGAAGATACCACATGGTCTACAGCGGGGGGGCCACATCAGGCCCCGCACTCTCAAACAAACGGCCCCTGAAACTCTAACTGACCCTCTGTGATTAAAACATGTTCAACATCAGAACATCAGTCTAAATTTTCTTCTTCTTCTTCTCTCATGATGTTTCTCAGCCCAGAGAGGATGCAGTTATTTCTAATAGACATTATTATTATTATTAGATCTACTTTTCATGAGTTTTACTCTTTGTTTCCTAAAGAACAAACATAAACAACATAAAGAGAAAGAGAATCCATCTTCATACTTATATCAAACCATATTCATAATAATACCAGGTCATTGATCCATTTCTATATAAACATATTGACTATTGATGCTTTAAGGAAAATGATATGGAGTAAAAAGTGAACAGGTTGTGAGGAGGTGAAAACATGAACGAGGCCTTAAACCTAAAGTTTGGCCAGTGAAGTGAAACCCTCCTTCAGGACTGAGTCCAGTCCGGTCCGACTCACCGTCCTGGATCCTCCCGGCCAGAGCCTCCGAGCTGAAGCCAGCGAACACCACCGTGTGCACCGCGCCAATACGAGCGCACGCCAACATGGCCGCCACCGCCAGCGGTGAGACCGGCATGTAGATGGCCACCCTGTCCCCCTTCTGGATCCCATGGCTCTTCAGGGTGTTGGCGAGGCGGCAGGTCATCTCCAGCAGCTCCCTGAGGGACAGACCACAGGAAACTGAGGAGGAGGAGGAGGAAGAACAGGGAGCTCCTATGTTGAAAGTACACAGCCTCACACTCAGGTTTAATTTCATTTCTGTTCACACATTTAAAACAAGACATTTATAAACTCTCAAAGCGTCGTTTATTCACCTTCAGAGAAATCCTTTATTTTTAATTTCCTGTTTTATATTTTATGATATTTGAGTAAAATTCCTTCTCTTCCTCCATGTTTATCTGTTTTAACACTTATTAACATTAATACTGTTTTCATTGTCCAATTCCAGTTATAAACACTTCTTCTTTGCTCTTTTATTCTGCGTTCTATTGTTTTATTTGACATGTTTTTGTGTTTCTTTTTAAATAACTTGTTTTCCAGTAAAAAAAAAAAGCAGAAAGACCTTTAGTGGATCAGTGAAGCAGGTAAAACAAGAGAACACATCATCTCCTGATGAATGACTGTCCAACCAGGTGAACATGTGCTTCACCTGCACCTTTACATTTATGGACTTCCTGTGCATTTACGACGACTGATGGTAACAAAGGTAAAGGTCAGTATCGTCTGCGTAGAGGATGATCACAGGGACCTTATCACTGATCTCTGTCAGATTAGAGGTTCACAGGTGTTCGTACCTGTACGTGACCTTCACCTCTGTGCCGGGTTCATCTCTCTCCCAGATCAGAGCCACTCGGTCCGGATGTTTCTCAACATGGACGTCCAGACAGTTCACTGAAAGACAGACGGACGCCGCAGGACGTTAACTGACGTCAGTTTTTCAGCATCTCAGATTTTCTGTTCTTTTCTCTCACAGATACTGAATGTTTTGTTTTGTTTTCAACTGTCGATTAGACAAAACAAAGACCGGATAAATTCAAAAATTGATAGATTATTAAATGATGAAAATTGGACCGAACTCGGCAGCTGGAAATTAAATAATACAGCGTTCTGTAGATCAGTGTGACATCAGGTTTAACACTCATCTGTGAAAACATTCCTGCACTGAGGAGCGGAAACTATTCAATTAATCGATTAATCGATTAATCGATCAATCGATCAAAAGGAAAAGAAACCAGCACATATTTTCAGTTAACTGTAATTAAAGCAGAGATAACAAACATCCTCTGACTCTTTAAATCCTGCTGGTTTCCTGTGATAATAAAGTGAAAATCATCTTTTTTTTTTTTTTTACTGTTATCTGATATTTTATAAACTAAACCAGCAACTGATTAAATGATAATGAAGATAAATGTTAGTTGCAGCTGCACTGCATCTGAAAGTATGGAGGCCCAGAGGGACAAAAGGGGCCAGTTGCTCATAACAACCTTAAGTCTTCTCCTTAAGGTTTCCTTAATATTTTCATTGAAGTATTTGAGGTTTTCTCTTCGTCTTGGTCTTACACTAAGGAATCCCTTAAAGTCAGTTACTGTGTCACAAAAGACCTTAGCAACCGAAGTGAGGAAAAAACTGTTCAAAAAACATTAGACTGTTCTTCTCTGTGTTCTGTAGTTATTAACACACACACGCACACACACACACACACACACACACACACACACACACACACACATCGTCCTGAAGGAAACTTCATGTTTCATCCTGTGATTGAACATTAATCCTGAAGTGGATTTCAGACGGAGGATCTTGTTGCTTCACACAATCATTTATGTAACACACAGAAAATACAAAATCAGATCTGATACAAATCATCCGTCGTCGTTATTGGAATATTATTGGATTGTTATTGGATTGTTATTGGATTATTATTGGATTGTTATTGGATTATTGGAGACAGAAAAACAACAGAGGAGGATAAAGAGACAATAAAGTCTCTGCAGAGACACTGTGGTTACTGTGACAGATTATACATGTGGCTCACACACTAACAGAATATAATGTTGTATACAGAATATAATAGAGAAGTATTAAAGAATACAGACTGTTTCTAATGTTCAGTTACTGGATGTGACAAAAGTTTCATTTGACTAAATGAAGATGAGACTGAAACGTATTGAGAGAATATCACAGCTTCATATGACGAACCCACACAGCAGCCATGTTTGTAACAGTGACCTTTGACCTTTTGGCTCCGTTATGCGGGTTCAGATCAGTTGAATGATTGTATCATATTATTATATTATTATATTTTGTAATGGTTGTGTTATGGTGTCAGTTTAGTGACATGTCATTTACTAATTAAGATTCAACTTTCATGTTTCATTAACACTTCCTGTTGAGTTCTTGTCAAAATAAAAGCCTGTGAGATGAACATTGTTTGGTGTTATTATTTATTGTGATCAGATCACATGTTTGTGGGAGGAAACCGGAGCACCCGGAGAAAACCCACGCGGGGGGGGGGCAACCTCACAGAGAGAAGAAGAAGAAGAAGAAGAGGAAGAAGAAGAAGAGGGTGGTTTCTTCGTCTCTCTGTGAGGATGTAGTCCTGAGCCCCCGTGTTGCCCTGAAGGGCAGGGGGGGGTTAGGGAGAAGATACTGGGGGTAGAGGGTGGGGGGGTCAGGGAGGAGAACATGGGGCAGGAGTAGAGGTTACTGTGGGGGGGCAGGTGTGACTCCCCCAGACCTCCTAAAGAAGTGGACGAAGCGTCTCCATAGAGACTTCCTCTTGGGTCTCCTCTGCTCCTCCAGCTTGGTGATTTTGTCCATCAGCTGCTCCGTGGTTCTGGCGATCTGCTCCTCCTTCTCCTGCAGAACCTGCTGGACGGTCTCCAGGGCCTCCACCAGCTCGGACTTCTCCTTGTCCCACTGGAGCCTCTGCTGCTCCAGGTCTTGCTGAACCTGGATCAGCGCTGCCTTCAGACAGGAGGTTTCTTGACTGTGTTGGTCCAGGGCACACGACCCGTCCTCCTCCCCCCGCTGGCCAGGTGACAGCTCCAGGTCGTGTTGGGCCTGGTCCAGAGCCAGCTGGACTCTGGCGGTCTCCTGGGCCTGTGTGGCGAGGCGGGTCTCGGCCTCCTGCTTCTTCTGGGTCTCGGCTCTCAGAGCTTCCTCCAGCTCTTGGATTTTTCTTGCAGCTTCCTCTCTCATCTGGGTGAAGGTGGACATGGCGTCGAGGATGAACGTTGTCTCCTTCTCCTCGCTGATCTCCTGCTTCACCTGGTCCGACTCCTGGACCAGGTCTTGCTGCTCCTGCTCCTGCTCCTGCTCTGAGATCCTCTGGTCCTTCTGGTCCATGAGCCGGTTCAGCTCTCTCTCTGGTATCTGAAGGAGAGCCTGTTGGCTGAGATCCAGGTCCAGGTCCAGACCGGTGTCTTGAGTCTCCTCCTCTCCCTCCTCTTCGAGCTCTTCTTCTGAAGAACTCTGGATGTGGAAATGGAGCTGCATCCAGGAGTCAAGGTCAAACCCGTCCTGGGGAGTGGAGGTGGTGTGGGGGGGGGCGGGCTGAGGTCCTGACTCTGTCATCATTGCTTCCATGGGCGAGTGTGGAGATCCTGGTAGAAGTTGTAGTGTGGCGTCTTCTCTGTGTCTGAGTTTGTGACTGACTCACTTCTGCTGCTTCACTTCTTATAATAAACTGTCATGACATCATCGGCTTTGATCTCATGGCTTTGATCTCAGATCTTTACATATTATGTGAAGATCTGAGATCAAAGTCACAGGGGGGTGATGTCATGACCTTCTAGAACCCAACTTGTGATGTCACGTTGTTTGATCTTTACATTCTAATTTATTGTTTATTTTCAAGTCGAATCAGATTTATTTGAAAATAAACAAATAAATTCACCAGAAAAAAAAATACTTTAAACATGTTTTGGAGTCTTCCTCCTCCTCCTCCTCCTCTTCCTCCTCCTCTTTCTCCTCTTCCTCCTCCTCCTCCTCTTTCTCCTCTTCCTCCTCCTCCTCCTCCTCTTTCTCCTCTTTCTCCTCTTCCTCCTCCTCCTCCTCTTTCTCCTCTTCCTCCTCCTCTTCCTCTTTCTCCTGAAGAGAGGATCAGTTTGATGAATTCACTTTTATTTTCAAAACTGACCAAACACTAACTGACATTTTCAAAGTAAAACTCAACTTTTCTCTAGACTTTTACTTTGAAATGACTATAACTTTTACTACAGTTGTTTTGCTGTTGTTGACCTTCACAATAAGATTTTATTGTTTTCTCCAGTAAATTCACACAGTGAGGTCGGGTCACTCTGTCAGTCATTAGTCATTACACTGAAGCATTATGGGAAACTTTACAGAGATATGATCACTGAGAACCAGAGAAGGAGGCGGGAAAAGTTCAGAGCCAGTCAGACCAAGGAGCGTGTGTTTTCTCCTGTCTGTCAGTCAGCAGGATCACAGTCAGAGTCCTGAACTGGTCTAAACCGGTCCTGGTCCAGAGACCGGATCCGTGAGCGAGAGTCTGGTCCAGAGTCCTGGTCCAGGACTGGTCCTGGTCCAGGGAGGAACCAGTTCAACGTTGATGTGGATCCAGTTTTTATCAACACGTTCACCATGAAATAATGTTTGAATCATATTGATGCTGCTGAGATCGATGAGTTTGTACATTTTGATGCAGATCCAGAAAATAATCAGATCAATATGTAATCAGATCATAATCTGATCATTAGGTAATCAGATCACCTGGAGCTGCTGGTATATGGTAGAATGTTGAAACAGACAGAGCTGTAGTGATGACATCATTGTTTTATATATATACTGTATAGGTTAATTCAGCTCCACAGGTGTATGGATTGTATAATAATGACGTCATCATGTCACACAGGTAAAATAGGTAAGACAGGTAAAACAGCTGGGAGGTGTATGGATTAAACATACATGTGTAGGACTGTTTCAGTCCAGTTACGAGGTTTTACCACAAACTTTAATCCAGAACTAACAAATCCAAATCCTGATCAGCCGGCGGATTAACTGATCACCGATCAGTTTATTGATCACTGATCCTCGGTCAGATTGTTTGGTAAACTCACCGGACACATTGAGCTTCCCTCCCAGGAACCAACTGATCTTCCCACTGCTCAGATCGCAGTCCCGGACCCGCTCAAACGGCTTCACCCAGCGGAGTCTGTCCGCGGCGGCGGATCCCCAGAACCGATCCGGATCCGTGAGCGAGAGCCGGTACAGATCCCGGTGGGACAGGCGGGAAAGCTGGTGGCTCCAGGTGCCCGGTGGAGGTGGAGGAGGAGCGGGCACGGAGGACAGACAGCACCGGTGCTGTTGATGACATAGTCCCGGTCCCGGTGTCCTGCAGCGGCTCAGGAGGGTCCTGAAGAACCCGGCCCCCTTGCAGCGGTGAGCGGCCATGTTGATCCTCTGCATCCAGAACCGAAACTGACTCACATCACAAACACAAGCTCTCTCTGCCTCTCTCTCTCCCTCCCCCACTTCCTCCTTCACTCCCCCACTTCCTCCCTCCCTCCCTCTCTCTCTCTCTCTCCCTCTCTCTCTCTCTCAGGTGTTCGCAGGTGTCTGGAGGTATGGAGTCACTTTAGCGCCAAAACCTGTGAGGCCTTGATTTGACAGGTCCACTATTCCAGATCATTTCCGGGAAACTTTCCTAATCAGCTGTTTGGTTCTAATTATATAATAGTTAATGTTAATTATATGCTAATTAAAGGCCTATTGAGATTTTTTTAAACAGTAAATAATGTCACAGTGAAATTACACCTGTCTCCACAGAGCTGTGTGACGTCACTGTGAAATTTTGTGATGTGGACATTTAATTTCATAAAAAAACTGCAGAAATACAAAAAACACATGAAATATAAATTTTAGTGTTTCTCATGTAGAGACTGAAGTTTTTTATATTTGAACATTTTACAGTTTATATTTGGAATCAATAAGTAAACTGATCAATTTATCAATAATTCATTGAAATTGTTTTTGTAATTGATCAGACTCACATAGATTTGAAAAAATATATTGTATCTGTTTTAGGAAAATACAGCACATTCCTCATAGTGTCTTTGAGGGTCATAAAAACTATTATTATACTGTTATAATATAACTATTATTTATATCATGGACACAGAACTTGTGGCGCCTTCACTGCTGTACGTGCATTCGCATTTTTCTGTTCATGGCTACTTTTAACTTGGCTCAGTGGTAGTCATAGTGATGACGTGTGTACTACAGGTGTACGAGCGTATAAAAGCAGACTGTAGTAAACATGTTTTGTTACTTGTTGGCTGAGACGTCCACTCTCCTGTTGTCAGTCCTCTGTTTCCTGAAATTCCTACGACAGTATCATAACAATTATTCTTAATAATAATTACATAATAATTATCTCAGTGTCACATATTAAATCAGTAAATAAAACATTATCGAATTAATAATAAAAACAAACACAAATAAAATGTGTGACAGAACCATTATAATGTAAAATAATCCTATAAATATTAAAGACTCAGTTCGTCATCATGAAATGTTATTTTGACTTTTCACAATAAAAGCCTGTTTTGGGTCATTTTAATTTAACTCCAGTATTTTTATTTCTTATTAATTATTCCATTGTCTTTATTCTTATCATACAGTAAATGTGAAGTCTCTCAGTGTTAGTGACTGATGTGTTAAATTGAGTTTTTTGTTTTTATATAAACTAAGTAAAAATCTGGTGTTTCAAAGTAAAACTCTAATGAACAGTCACATTCAGTTCAGATTCAGTCATGGTCAAACTGTCACTTGAAAAAGCTGAAAACGGATTTGCAGTTAAAACTTGTCGTCAGACTGAAACTTCTCAGATTTTAAACGTATAAATCACGTGAAAGTTTCAGATTATTGACAAACAGATCAGATCATGAGATTTAATATCTAAAAAGGATAAAAATGGATCATAATTTATCACAAGATGAACATTATGAGATCAGTGACCTGCTCTGGCGGCTGCTGCCCCCTGTAGGTCAACAGGGGGACTGCAGGTTGAAGCTTTTATATTCAGACTTTCATTAAATGTCATATTTAAATGTGTTTTAAGTTTAAAAGGAGAATTTACTATATAAATGCAAAAGAACAAAGCCAAACTGAAGCTTAAAGATTCCAAGTTAATATGAATGAAATAATAAAGACGTGGTTGTAGATGTACGATCACAATGTAAGGTCCACTTACACACTTGTTCCAGAGCTTTCCAGGGGACCACATGGTCTTCATCAGCAGATGGAGTTTGCCCTGTCTTCATGTAACTGTAAACATCCTGTCACATGTTCATTCTCGGAAACACTCTTGTCTAAAGGTCCACTTACTCACTTATTCATCAGCTGACGAGGTCTGTGTGGGTACGGTCGAAAGCTCCAGAGGCCTGTAAGTGGACCTTGAGTCGTGTTGTTTCTGTCAGGCTCAAACAGAATGTAAATATATTATGAAATATGAATTATGATTTAATACTAAAGATTTAAATGAATTTCTCTTGGGGAAAAATAAAGTTTGAATTATGGAAATGAAAACAATAAAGAAACTGACACAGGATCAGTTTGTGTTTGGACTGAACTCTTTAAGGAGATTAATTCTACAGGGATCAGATTAGTTTGGATCTATTGTTGTTTGTTTGTTTGTCTGATGACATTAATGATGATGTTAAAACCTGCAGCTCATTAAGTCTTTCCCAGTAACATGTTGCCTCCACAACAAGCACTAATAATCTGTAAGGTTATTATATTATTATATAATATATAATAATATAATAATATTATATTTAATATTATTTTACATTCAAACTGCAGGAAATAACAATAACATGAAATCTTGGATTATTAGTCTGTGGTCTCACACACTGACCTCAGGTCTGCAGGGACTGGACTTCTTTATGAACCTGTCTGGACTCGGACTGAATGAAGGACTGGTGTGTTGTCTCCTAACGAGCTAAAGCTTTGAGCTTTTACTAACTGATCAAATGGATCAATTAATACATTTATTGGTGCTGCAGACACAAACAACAGAATTATTCACATCCTTAAAAAAACATCCAGTGCTTTTAAATCAAGTAGAGAAGGTTCGTCTGAGCGACCTGCTGCTCGACAGGAACACAGGTCTTCATTAAACCTCAGACACGACGCCGTCGCTGGACTCAGCAGCTTTTCTTAGCAGCCTCATCAGAACAAAGCTCTCTGACTGTAAAGGGGTGCACTGCTCCTTTAACAGAGAAATAAATGATATTTGTGTCTCAGGATGTTTGGATCAGACGATCGGCAATGTTGTTGTGTTTGACCTCCTCCTCAGATTAACGATCAGCGGATCATTAAGAGTCATAAAGGTGATTAATTCTATTGTACAAACACAAAGGTGGATTAACCGTGTATACACCCTTTAATCTGACCTGTGGTCGGCACAACAACAAACCTCTGGATGAAAACACAGCTGGATTACAATTATCATCCGAGTGTGGGAATTATCTGTGACCAGGATTAAAGAGGAAACCGCCACAGACATTCATGTGAATATGAGGTCAGAGGTCAGACAGGAAACCAGCAACAACACTGAGGAGTCTCTGTGGTCGGGGGTTTTCTACTTTAAGGTTGAGTCTCTCCTCAGCTGAGGGACAAAACTTTCATCTTCCCTCATTCATTCATCATGTTGCAGCTCAGACGGGTCTCAGCTGTACGTGATTCCTGGAGTAAAAGGCCACGATGATGGAACAGTCACATGACTTCCCCTCATGTTTGAAGATAAGACACTGATGATGCTTCATGATAATTAAAGGCCTCAGTGTTTAAACTGAGTGTCTGTGATGCGTTCACAGGTCTGTCCATACAGTCAGAAATGTCACGACACACTGTGTGACTGCAGTGTTTGGGCGTCCACATACTTTTGGCATCGTGGTGTGATTGTATCTCTAACACATGATGGAGTCAGAGGTCAGAGGTCAGAGGGCGTGGGCTGCCTCAGCTGCGTCTGCTTCAGGTGAGCTTTGGTCTGCAGGTGAGCCTTCAGGAAGGTGAGCAGGCGGAAGTGTTTGCCGCAGGCGTGGCAGCTGTAAGGCGTCTCCCCGGTGTGGATGCTGCGGTGCCTCATGAAGCTGGTGGCCAGGTTGAAGGTCTTGGAGCAGAGGGAGCACCTGTAGGGCTTCTCTCCGGTGTGGGTGTACCTGTGGTCGCGCAGCAGCTCCTTCAGCCGGTAGCTCTTCCCGCAGATGTCGCAGTGGAACGGCTTCTCGCCCGTGTGGCTCCTCTGGTGAACTCTGAACTGCGAAGGGTTGGGGAACTTCTTGCCGCAGACGTCGCAGGTGATGACGGAGCCGGCGGCCGGCAGCTCGTCGGCGGGCAGCTCGTGCGAGTGTTTGCTGATGACGTGGTTCTTCAGGCAGCGGTAGCTCTTCCCGCAGACGGAGCACAGCTGCCTCTCTCCGGTGTGGATGGCCTGGTGGCTGCGCAGGTTGGCGGCCTGGGTGAAGCCCTTCCCGCAGGTGGAGCACTGGTACGGCCGCGCCTCCTGGTGCACCAGCTTGTGGCGAGTCAAGTGGCAGGCGTGGTAGAAGCTCTTGCCGCAGACGTCGCAGATGAAGGTCTTGTCAAAGTGAGTCATCCGGTGAGTCTTCAGCACGCTGACGCAGGAGTAACCTTTCCCGCAGATGTCGCAGTGGCACGTTTTCTCGCCGGTGTGCCGCGCCTTCACGTGCAGGTTGCGGTGAGCTTTGTGGTTGAACCTTTTGGGGCAGTAGTCGCAGGCGTACGGCAGCAGCCTGTGCTCTTTGATCTCGTGGTCACGGAGCTTCAGGACGCCGGTGAACATCGTCCCGCACACCGAGCACACCGGGTGAGACTTCCTCTGGTGGTCGGAGAGTCGCTCTGCGTTTGGAAACAACATCCCGCACTGCGAGCACTGCTGGTGACTTCCTGACGTCTCTGCGAGCGGCGCCGTGTTTCTGGCTTTCCTCCTACGGCTGCGGCGCTGCTGCTTCCTGCTGCATGCTGCAGAGACTCCGCCCTCCTCTGCTGTGGTGGCGCCGGGCAGAGGTGAGGACGGCCGAGCGTACTCGTGGTCGGGGAAATCAGCCTGAGGGGGGAGGGAGGGGGAGGAGTGTTTCCCGTGCATCACTTCACCTGTTCCCTCGGTGCAGCTGCTTTTATCTTCCCCTGTAGACAAAGACACAGAGGTCACTCAAGGTCACAGAAGTTAAAGGTGGTCACATGACACCAGCCTTGACAAACGTCAGCCATGTTTCCTCAGTCAGGTGAACTCACCGTCAGCACTGGCGCCGTTCTGCAGAGAGACCAGCATACACCTGGAGTCCACAGCGGCGCTCTGAAAAACAGAAACAGTGACAGTGATCAGGTGTGTTCAGGTGTGTTCAGGTGTGTTCAGGTGTGATCAGGTGTGTTCAGGTGTGTTCAGATGTGTTCAGATGTGATCAGGTGTGATTCACTCACTGACCCCATAAACCAGGATGTAGGTCTGTTGTGTGGGGGGGGGCTCAGCTCCACCATCCTCACCTGTAACACAGAGCAGTGGAAACACCTGTGACTGAGTCTTTTCTCTGGACGTTTCCTGTCCGACCTTCAGGAGGAAACAGGAGCCAGAGTTTTTGTTGTATTTCTCAGTACGAGGCGTTCAGGGACCCGAGGACTCGTGATATTTATCATGAAAACAGAATCAAACTTCCACGTCTTCGGTCACAACAAACACGATGTAAAACACTGAAGATGATTCAGAGTCTGGGTCAGTGTGGACGTGACGTCCAGATGAAGAGCGTCTGTTTAACATCGTGACTTTTATGTTTTTATTTTGTGTCTCGTGATTTTGTCGTCTGCCGAGAGAGAGAGGGAAAATAAATCTTCAAAAGACATCTGCATGGAGCATGGCCATCATTCAGTGTCGCGACACCAGATGAATGTGTTGCTATGTCGCTGCTGTTTTACTGCTTCCTCCATCTTTTCCACCTCAGCTGAGCATTAAACACAATTTCTGCCATTTCAACAATAAAAAAGAAGATAAAAACAGGTGAATGGAAACACACCTACTGTCACACCTCAAGCCTCTGTTCAGTGTCCGAGCTTCAGACTCACCGTCAGCGCTCTGTGTCTTCATCACACCCTCACCGCTCCGGTCGGACTGAGGAGCATCGCTCTGGTCTCCTGGAGCCTCCTCCTGCTGCACAGCAGCCAGCTCCACCATCTGCAGGAGCTTCTCCACAGCTTCAGCACACAGACGGTCCACCAGAGCGCCCAGCCTCTGCTCACACAGTCAGTGTGGTCAAACATCAGAACAGATAACAACAAAGCATCACCTTTTAATAACAATAATAATAATAACTTATATTTTTATAGCACCTTTCAAGGTACCCGAGGCCACTTTGCAGAGTAAGAAGACAAAAAGTAAATAAATAAAACAAATAAATGATTGATGATCGTTTTACACTATCTTCATATGTTTATGTACAAAACTCTGAATGTGTAAAGTAACTACAGCTGTCAGATAAATACACTACAGTAGAAAGTATCTAGTATCCAAGTATAAAGTAAAAAGTACAAGTACTTCAGAGTTGTACTTAATGACAGTACTTGAGTAAATTTACTTAGTTACTTTCCATCACTGTCTTGGTTGAACAAAACATCTGAAGCTGTCACTTTTGACTCTGGGAAGCTGTAATAGACTAAATACTTAATCCAATCATTTGAAAAAAAAATGGGCAGATTATTAAATATTGATAAGAATTGCTAGTTGCACCTCTGATCAATATTAAGAGGAAGCATGCCGAACAGGAGCAGGGTATGTATTGTCATTGTCCACTTGGTGTTGGATTCAACAAACAATGTTGACAGAGAATGTTTAACCCTTCAAGTCTAAATTGTTTGTTAGGATATTGTATTATATTCCACAGTGTGTATAAATCAGCCAACAACATGAAAATCCTTAAATTAGAGGATTAGTAAATGGAGTTTGGTGTGTAATTACGTTCTGCTTTTCACACTGGACTTAGCCTGGCCCCAGGCTAGGACAGCCGTTAGCCCCAGGTTCTTTTAGTGAAGGACCCGTCTATAGTAGAGTCACTGAAGCTGCTTAAATTAAGTGATTTCTAAATGGAGTTCGTTGTGTGTCTACATGAGAACTCAGAGTGAAGTCTGTTGTCAACCGTTACAACAACTAAGGGTTAATATTTAAACACACACACTCTCACTCAATCACCTCCTGTCAACCACCGGGACCGAAAGAGTTAAACCCGAGTTAGCTGTTGGCTACAGTTAGCCGCGGTAGCTTACCTCAGTTTCGGGATTTTGTTTATTTAAAGAGACTTTCTCCGCCGCGGTAAAAATCTCCGCCACCACGGCCTTGGCCAGATTATTCACGATGAACGCCACTTCATTTTTTAAAGTGATTAAATCCACCATTTTGAAGATTTCTGTCACTAATGATGCAGGTTAGTTTAGCAAACAAACGGCTAAAGGGACTATTGCGGGTAAAGGAAGTGATGTAATTGTCTCATCCAACGGTTAACGCCTTCCAAAGTAAAAGTACTACTGCTCTACTGACTACAGGTAAATTATTAAAAATAAAGGTTCTTTTTACGAGCTTCAGATTTTATGATTTTTAAAGTTTTCTTTCTTCCTTTTCTCGTTTTACATTCGTTTTTTATCATTTTACCTTTTAGTTATTTGACTAGTGCTAATAGATTGGAGAATGTAAAAATGTAAAAATACAAATAAAATATACTCAAACACTGATCAATAAAACTCACTTTTTTTATCTTTAATGTTACATTTAAGGTAACAACTAACTTTATTTGTTTTTATTCAAATTAATTTGATAAGTTGTTTTAAATAGTTGTTAAACTTCAGATATTACAAGTCAGTTTCAGACTATTTCAGACATGTTACTGTCACAGCAGGATTAACCCAAAAAATAAAAATAGAGAAACTGAATTTTAACAAATGTTTTCAATTTTTAAAATATAATTTGACATAATTGAATTTCATTAAAAGTTATATTTAAATATTGGCAGCCACAGATTTCCACGTGCATTACATTTTCTAACTCATCTTAAACCATTTTCTGTGTAACCGTGTTTTTCTCCTGAACAATCCTGAAAAGCCACTTCCTGGATATGTTACCATGACGTATCCACTATATATGTTGTAACATGTACAAAAAAGTTTAATTACCCTGGTTAATTAAACTTAAATAAAACTATTCTGCAATGTTTGTGTAGTGTTATTGACATAACAGCACAAATAAAAGTACCAGTTTCCAAAAATACTTTGTTTTTTATTCATCACCCTGCACCTGTTGCTGTACATACATATGATAATATCAAACAAATTCTTTTTAAATATTACATTTAAATTACATTCCTTCACAGAACTTCAGGCTGATCAGTGCTTGACAGACAGTCAAACTATAAAACACCAACAGGAATAAAACATTGAATAGTCTCTTATTTTCCAAAAACACAGATATAAAACATACTCTCAGTACAATACAATGATAAACACACAGATGGAGACATCTTCATTTACACCCTCCTCCAACAGTTCACGTCTGTCAGAAAAGACTCCACTCAGTCCGATTCCTCCACGACCATCTGACTCTTAGTGGAGGTCCTCGTTACGCTAGCATGACGTTAGCATTTCTGGGAGCACAGAGAGATGGCTAACGGAGCCGAACATGTTTAGTATTTTAGCTCAGTTATAGCATAATCAGTAGCATTTGCTTCATTATTGAAAAGCTGTGGATAGATCAATCAAAAAGTAACATATTTGTCAGTTAACTTCATATGTTTCAATGGGTTGTTAGCTTGCTAATGTGCTAATATTTCTTATTTCATTAGCAGCTAACACCTTAGCATATTGGTCACATTTTACATCACCAGTAAAGATGTTAGCATGATAAAATATTGCCCATGTGCTGATAGTTTAGCATACAACGTTTGCTAAAATACTAGCACTGAAATTTTACATATTCAATTACTAATTTTAAATCTTTGTTAGCCTTTGTATAATAGTTTATCTTGCTAATATTTTAGCATGATAACATGCCCACATATTACATTTGAAATGAACAGTAGCTGTTTCTTACCACTGTAAAATAGTAGCCATGGGCTAATATATAAGCATGCTAACATATTTGGCAGGCTAATTTTACATGTAAAATAACCATTAAGTGTTTGGTAACATGCTAAATCTATAGCCCACTGGCTAGTAGTTTAGCATACTAACACTAGCACTGAAATATTACATTATATTTTGTCAGTTAACGTTTGTTTGCATAGAAGGAAATGCCCACAGGCTAATGGCTAAGTTAAATACTTAAAATGCTTAAATACAAGCGTTCTACTAAGTGTTTTCTTGAGAAAAAATAAATAAATAAAATAAAATAAAAATAAATAAATAACTAATAATGCGTTTGAAAAGTTGGTAAATTTAGCGACAAAGTCACTAAGTTGGCAACATTGGCTGTCGAGCTACTGAAGTAGAAACTTTGCATAGTAACAAATGATGTAATGGCTGTTCATTGATTGGCTGTGCTCCCTGAAAAAGGAGCCAATGAAATCGCTGTGCTCCCAGAGCAGAAACGTCCGATCAACCTTCAGCTGTGTTCATCCGAGTTGCCACCACTCTGCCGCCGCGGCGAGGAGGCGCACCTCCCTCCCTCCTCCTGCTGCTGCTGTTTGGAGGAGCTGGACAGGTCAATGGCCACCTCCTCCTCCATGTCCTCCTCCTCCTCCAGCAGCTCCTCCTCCTCCTCCACTGCCTCACGCTCCACCCCCCGGGCCTCGCCGCCGCCCCGTCTCTCCGAGGCGTCGCAGAAAGAGTCGGAGCGGGCGGAGTCAGACTGCCGAGGACTGGAACATTTTTTGGCCATTTCTAAAGACTTTTTGTGCATTCCTGTGAGGACATGAGGACAGAGATGGAGACAGAGATTCAGTCCAGTCTGCACGACACACATCTCATTATTATTATTATTATCATTATTATTATTACACTGTCTAAAATCGTATAAAATACTATAAGAATATATAATTTCACAGTCCACTGAATGAACAAAAAGCTGCAAAAACTCGGGGCCCCACAGGAGACGCCTGTCTGTCTCCTGCGGGGCCCCAGGGGCCTCCTGGTCAAAGCTCTGATTCAATCATATTGATGTTTACTATTTATACATTTCTAATAAACAGCATGTTGACAGGCTACAGTTTGTATATGAAAGATGAATGAGTCTGATCTTACATGATATTTATTTATTTATGCAAAAATAAAATAAACATCTTCTCAGGCTGTGAGCATCTGCATCAGCAGTTTTGTTGTTGTAACAAGTGAAATTTATCTTATTATCATTAAATGAAATAAGGTTTTCCTGTGATATGACCAAATGTATTTACACAAAACTGTCCTGTTACATTAAAGTCTGTGAAACGCTGAACTGAAATAATTCAACATCTAAAATCAGGAATCACAACTGTGAAAAAATAAATATGAATCTTTTCTGAGGGTTGACTGTTTTATAAATAATATGTCACTTTATTTTAACATATTCAGCTGAATCCTGTTGACACCAGGTGTACATGTTGTAAATACTGTTAATATGATGTGAGCATTTTAACTGATGGCAGGACTCGATGTGTCACACCTGTGTTAGATCAGGTGCGGCCTCAGTACGGAGCTTCACTGGTCACATTTTTAACATAATAAAACTCTGTCTGTGAATCTCCGGATATTAATCTGAATCATTTTACTTTAACACCTAAAAACTGCTTCCATGTTATCTGCTGAAAATATAAATAGTTGTGTTAATATTGATTCCCAGTGTGTGTGTGTGTTCAGTGTGTGTGTAGCCTGTGTATTGATGCGTGGTGTGGTGCGTGTGCGTGGCACTGACGTGCATGCGGCTCACCGAGCAGCCAGGGGGCGCAGGATCCCATCATGCCGTTCTTGGCGGAGTTGAGGATGGACTCTGGCAGCGGGATGGAGTGTCGCACCATCGCCCCGTACAGACCGTACTCCGCCATGACGCTGCTGCGACCCCAACACTTCTCACGCTTACGCCACTTCGCCCGCCGATTCTGAAACCACACCTGGAAAAAATAAATACAAAAAAAATTAAAAATATATATATTTTTATATATATTTATATATATATTTTTATATTATATTTTTTTCTTTCCTCAGATTTCTTTTGTGACCCATTGGAGGGTCCCTGACCCTCATGCAGGGAACTGTATTTGGTAAAAAGGTTCAGTAGAATATAAATGTCATTTTTAGGAGACATGAGACTGAAAATCTGTCTAATAATTAATTTCTCTTTTTGTTTTTCATGGTTTGTTTTTCACTTTATAATTAATTTTGTCTTTTTTGACTGAAAGAAAACAATATTGTGAATATTAAAGTTCAGTTTTTAATATGATTGATCTTCGAAGATACAGAACACACTTATACATCATATACACATGTACAATGATGTATCATCATACATAACTTATAAGCTTGTTGTGTAATTTAAACACTTTAAATTCATCCTGAAGAGATAATCTAAATCTGCAGTCAGACGTGTGATTAGTCAGCTGATTATTGGTGATTGATCAGCCGTGTCGATCAGCTGTCTCACCTGTATTCTGTCCTCGGGCAGCTCTGTCTTCATGGCGAGCATCTCTCGGGCGTAGACGTCGGGGTAATGAGCCTCGTGAAAAGCTTTCTCCAGCTCCTCCAGCTGGTGGGAGGTGAACACCGTCCTGCAGCACAGAGCACAGCGTCACACACCAACACACACACCTGAACACACACGCTGCACTTCAGCCAGTAACACGTCAGTATGAAGTTTCACCAGATTTACAGCAGAAATCTTTGGTTTTTTATTTCTCTCAATTTTCTGTGAAAATCATTTGAGTCCAAACAGAATTTATCTGCTTGAGTCTAAAGGGTTAAAAAATAAAGACGCCAGTTTATATCTGATTAATCCTTAATTTCTTTAATAACATGATATTTCTTATAATTTGTTGTTAACCAATCTTCTGTCTTATTCTGTTTTCTGATGGTTTTATTTAAACTGAACCTGAAAAATCACTGATGCACAAACCTACTGTGCAAAGATACATCATTATAATCTATATTTGTTTAGCTTTTTATAATAAAAAATGATTAATAAAAATATCGCATAATTTTAAGTGACATATAAGCTGCTTATTCAAATGATGACAGATTTTTATAAATTTCAACCAATAAATCTGAATTTTGTCAATTTATTTTTTTGACTAGTGGAAACATCACTTTAAAATATCTGAAACATTAAGTTTAAAATATGTTTATATTTATAATTTAGCTTTTTTTTTTTTTTTAAATATAAAAATCTCTTTTGACTGGAAACATTTCAGCCTCAGTGACTGAGTTTCTCTGCTGTTTAAATCCTCAGGGATCAGGTTTACATCAGTTTCTGTGACAGATGTTTCAGACTGAAGGATCCAGCTGATGAAGATGAAGATGAAGATGAAGTCATTGAGTCAGAAGAATCAGTAAAAACTCACCTGTGTCTCCTCTTCTTTCTCTTCTGATTGTTTCCTGAACTTTTGGAGTCGTTTCTGTCGGAGAGACACTCCTCATCTTCAGGAGGAAGAGCAGAAAAAAATATCTCATCAACACAAAGAGTTTTAGAGATTGGTTCTAGTTTTACTTTGAAATGATCTAATTTACTTTGTTTATCTAAAAGGAAAAAGAAAAAGTTCGTTTCTTTATTCACAGACACTAATTTATCTTTTTAATTCCAATTAAATCAACAGCCTGATCTGTCAAATAAGAATTTCACCTGAATTCAGAGCAACAAGCGGATTCTTCTGAACCTTTAAACTGGACAAACCTGACCGTTAAACCCGAGTAGAGCCGAACTGAGCCGAACCACAGATTAAAACGAAAACAAAAACACACAATTTAGAGTCAAAATAATAATAAAATATATGTAAAAAAAAAAAAAAATTCAAAACAACTGCCGAAGTGAGACGAAGAGAAAGACACTTAAAAATACGATTCAATTTAGAGAAAAAACGTTTAAATTTAACGTTATTTTGTTTGTTTTTTTAACGAAGAAAAGGTTGTAGAAACCTTAGTAGGGCCGATCTTAGACGAATCCAAATGTCGTTTTTAAAACACAAATTAAATAAAAATAAAAAAGTCCAGTTCAAAGGTTCAGAGTGAAAAAAACCCGCCAAATTCAATAAACTGTTTAAAAACTAGGAAAACACGAGTCAAACCGAACTAAACCGAGGTGACAACGATCCAGGTTCTGTCACTCGTCAGGCCACGTTAAACACTTTGAGCAATAAAAGAGTAAAAGCCGAGCCGAGCCGGGCCGTACCGGAGTAGGCGTCCCTTTGGGCCTCGAGGTTTTGCAGGTAGTGGCTGTCGGCCCGGGCCTGCAGCAGCGGCAGGTGCCCGGGCAGGAAGCAGGGTGCTCCGGCCGGTTGCTGGGCCGCGAGGCTGCACAGGAAGCCGAGGCCGAGCGGCAGCGACCCTCCCGGGAAGGAGAACCCTCCGAGGCCGCCGCTGGCACCCTGCGGCTCGGCCCCGGGCCCGGAGCACGCCGCCGACAGGCCCGAACCCGGAGCACCTCCGGGCTGCTGCCGCGCCTGCAGGTCCGACTCCAGGCCCAGCAGGTCGGTGATGGCAAAGCCTTTAGACCGGAACCCGGAGCCGTGCAGCCGGGATTTATCAATCCCAAATCCTGGAGATAACATCTTCACTTTGGGCTTCTCTTCGCCAACGTCCTCCCGGCCCGTCATGATGCTCATCAGGGTGAACTCTGGTCCTTCAGCACCGAGGAGGAGGAGGAGAAGGATGGACAGACCTGAGGGGGCCGGGTGGCGGGCTCTATTTATTCCGCTCCGTTCTCCAGGGGTCACAGCAACATCCAATCAGAAGTGAGAGAAGTGAGAGAGGGCGTTCCCATTTTCTCCTCTCAATCCCAGAGGATTAATTGCCACCAATTTTCTTTCAATCCGATCAGGATTTTATCCAGAGGAGGAGGGGGAGGAGGAAGAGGAGGAGGGGAGGAGGAAGAGGAGGAGGGGGAGGAGGAGAATATTTCAGTTATATTGTTTATCTTGGATCAGAGTCAAACATCACCAGGATCATGAGCTTCTACACTGATCAATAAGGTACCAGAGGAGAGGCGGGAAACAGAACCGAGGCCTCGAGGAACCGATCTGATCAATTATCAAAAATCAACAACTAAAACATCACATTTTGTCTCAATGTTTTAAAATAATTCCTTTGTAATTTATTCGCGCCATCTTTAGAACAGCTGATAAACATAAACATTAACAACCATAATTAAATAAACAGGAGAGAAAATTTGAAGTTATTTGTAAAATAAAATGAAAATGTTTGTTTATTGTAACTAATGCAGCAAAAAATAAATTAATAAAATTAATACAAGATAAAAAAAAAAGATGAAATATTAATGATGTGAATATTTATTGGTCTGATTGTTGATCAGGTTTGTTTATTTGTTTGTTAGTTTGTTTGTCGTTTCGTGAGTTAGTTAATTCCTTTAGTGGTTAGTTTATGGAGCCACGGAAGTTATGAAATCATCATTATTTTATATAATGAGATTAAAAAATAATAAATAAAATAAGAAACAGTGAATCACAATGTTGAAACTGTAAAAATAAATAAATAAATACAAGAACAAAATGAAATTTAAACGCGTATTAAACAAATGTAAAGATGAAAGAAAAGACAGATCTCATATAATTAAAACAAACAAGCAAATTAACTCAAAAAACAAAATTATTGAACTGAAAACACACGTGCAATAATAATGGGATAAATAAATAAATAAAGGACCTGATGTTGTAAATAATAAAAACAATAAAGCAACTGATTACCTGTTAAAGCTCAATAATAATGTCTGTTATAATATCTCTATTATTTTCATTTCATTTTGTTGCAGCAGATTTTCATCATTTGCTTTAAATTCACAAACAAACAGTTTTTCTTTCTGCTGTTTAACTTCACATGATGGAAAATGAGCTGTGTGTGACTGAAGAGATTTAACTGTCTTTAATCTGAGTCATTTGCTTCGACTCAGTGAAACTGTGACGTAAAAACACAAACACTGAGATTAAAGTTCAAAACTGCCTGAAATTTGCTTTAATTATCTCTCATAAGCAGATTCCTCTAATTGCTTTTTAAAACCGGTTGACCATTTTTACCTTCTTACACACACACACACACACACACACACACACACACACACACACACACTGTCTGCCAGCCTGCAGTCAATCTCCAGGGATTAAACACTAACTTGGCCCTAATTTCCAAACTGACTTTCATCATGAGGAGCTGATTTTCACTCCGTCTCACTGAGGATGATGATGATGATGATGAGGATGATGATGATGATGATGTGTCAGTGTGATGTTGTAGCTCTCACGTCCAGTTACACCGACACACACTGTGGTTCCCTAAATCATAAAGAGAGCAGCGTTTTCACAGAAGAAGAAGAAACACTGATGTCACTTCTTCAGTTGTTGTTTTCCTTCTCCTTCTTCTCCTTCTTCATATATTTTTCATATATTTCAACTGTTTCACTCAGGTAAGGGTGTATTTTAATTTAGTGACATTTAAGTTAAAACTGAGTTCAAGTTTTTTTTCACATGGAGTAAAAACTGATCCTGTTGTTTTTCTCTCAGGTGACTTTTATTCGGCACTGAAAAAAAAAATCATAAAAAAAATGTGAAATGACTGTCAGCAGCAGCTGCCAAACAAAAACCGTAAAATTAAAGTAAAATGTCCTAATTCCAATAAAGTGTAAAAACAATAACTTTACAGAAAGTTTCATTAATATTTCTACAGAGAAAAACTGTTATTTTACAGATTTTTCCTAAATGATTATGATCAAACTCCTTCAATAAAGTGACGCCACTAAAGTTTCTGCAGAGAAACTTTTTCCTAATAATAAAATTAAGTGTCAATCAATGAAATATTAACACAAGCTTCATATTGTAAAGTAAACCTTTTGTTTTGAAGACAAAGTAAAAAATACTGTGTAAAACATTAAAATCATCTCAAACTTCAACTTGCAGTATTTGTGTCAACATTGAATCTTTAAGTGTAAAGTAATGTTAAAACCTGTAGAAGCACAATCTAAATACAATATTTACTGATTCAGATTCAGATTAATTTTCTTACATTTCTCATAAAATATAATAAACTGAAGAAATGCAAATTAAACTGTTAAGTCTCTGTATGTAGTCTTTCAACTAAAGTGGGGTTGGAAACTTAATTACAAATAACACACACACCACTATTGACTTTATAACACTTTTATTTAATATATTCAGATGTAAATTTACAATATCAACCAATTATTCACAAATAGTTCTTCAGAGCCCCGGGATGATCTGAAGAACTAAAACTGGCATTTCTCCATTGGTCTATCTTGCCTGTTAAGGTTCCTATAATGAGGAGGTGATGATGGCACCTCTGAAAGAGGGGGGGCTGTGGAGCTGAGGGGGGGTGGTCTGTTGTTTTTTAGCTTGTATCTTCCAATTCAGTTTGATCTTGTTTTCCACAGTATTCTCCATATAGTTCTGACAACATATGTGGACAAACATTATACTCTCTTCTATGTCAGAATCCCAACTATACAGTGAATTAATAAGTCAAATCAAAACATACCACAAAGGTCAATGTGTCACGGTACGAGCAAGGAGAGGCCAGGACCCAAATGCAGAGTTCAAAAAACAGTTCTTTATTCACAAAAAGTAGCACGAAAAATCACCTTTAAAAGAGAACAAGGTATCAAAACAGAAAAAACAACTGAAATTCACCTAACGGGAAAAGTAACGAAGAAAAAGCTCAGAATGACTAACAGGAGAAAACAACTAAAAGTGTCCAGGAGCAAGCTCAAACTGGGAAGCGAAAGTGCAAAGGAAAAACTGGAGACAATACTTAGCGATCGAACAAAGGTGAGGCAGGGGACCGGCTCCAGAGCAGGGCTCAGGCGAGACGCAAACGGAACACTCTGGCAACGAGGACGTGAATGGAGTTGGCTTAAGTAGCCGGGCTGATTAGGGAATGCGGAGCAGGTGAGTCTGGTTGAGATCGCCCCGCCTCCGAGCACTCAGTCTGTGCAGAGGGAGAGAGAGAGAGGGATCAGAAAACTGCACGAGTCAGACCATGACACAATGAATCTTTACCAGAAGTGACGATGCAACGGAGCAGTTGAAGAAAAATCCACCTTCAAACTGCCAGTAATCAGCTGGATCCTTGGAGCATCTGGGGGAAAAGAAATAACAGCCTAAAGATGTTGTTTAATACTTTTATCATATATTATTATTATCATCCCATATAAGATGTTTTACCCTCCTCTTCCCGTTTTAAAAATGTGCCGCAGTAACACGTTTACTCAGAGTACGTCACCTTTCATTACCAGCAGTGAGTGACCGTTTACGTGCTGACGTCACTGTAGCGTCTCATCGCCAGTCTCTGGAGTTTCTGTTTCCGGTAGAGTTTATTGCTGCTCTATCTGAACACAGTTAATGTTGTTGTTTTCTTCATTACAGTGACTAACTACCTGCTGTACATTTAAACTGACCAGTTCTGCTCCAGCACCCACAGCTCTCTGCTGCTTATAGCGAACTTCACTGATTCAGCATTTGTTTACATGCTGTTTAGAACTGATTGTTACTTTAGCTTAGCAGTTAGCTCTGGCTTCTCTCTCTCTCTTGCTCAGTGTGTGTCTCGGACCAACAAATTAACTTGTTCATAAGAGTGTTGTGTTTTTGTATCTTCAGAATATTGGATTGTGATGTTTATTACAGCTTCAGCGATGTCTGCTGTCATGCTGTGGACACACAGCTCCGCTCGCTAACCGGAGCTACAAACAAAATAGCATGTTAGTTATTACTCACTAATCCCTGAGTCGTCATCTGGAACATGGTGATCAATGAGGAACTGGGTGATGCCCGGCGATGGGAACCATGAGTGGTAGGCTGGAGACAACAGTCCAGACCAAGCGATAGCTGCGCGGGAGACTTCTGCTCCTCAATGATTGTTTCCTGTCCCTCGTCTAAGTGTACAAGGTGTAGCTACAAGACAAGTTTTTCACTTATACTCCTTAACGCACTCATTTACCTCCTCATCAGCGTTCGTTTAAGCTTTAAACCCAAGCTGACAACATCAACACATACTGCCAACACACAGCAAAATTAGCTTCTTCCACATTGAAGTAAATGCTCTTTATGGCTAGCGCCGGCTTAATCACGTTTAGCCTTTTCACTTTAACACTGTTAATACGTGTTTTCAGTTCATCAAATTAGCTCCAACATGTTGTTTGCCTGTAAATGTCTTGTTCGGTGTTTCAGTGTTCTGAAAGGACCACTCAGGAAGTCGACGGATTCCAACTTTTTTCGGTGAAGTACATTTTGTTTTAATCATGTTTCTTTGCGTAACCAAAATTAGCCATCACTGTTAATAAACACCGGTTCAGTGAAGATGCACCTTGATAACCAAGCTAGCCAGCTAGTGCTACGTTAGCTGATAACCTGTTGTCAACCTGGGTTAGCCCCGTGGAGGTGTTCAGTCAAAGCCCCAATAAAAAGAGTGAATTTAATGGACGTAATCGAACGACGGTTTTGTTTGTGTTTCTCCACGTGGACCCAGTTTAAGTGATCTGCGTTAGTGTAATGCGCAGCGTTAATGTTAGTTAATACATTGTCCATCGAGACGTCGTTATAGTTCAAGATAACGTGACATATACAAAATGTGTAGACAAATATTTGTC